TATTTATTATTTTATATGCACCATTTTCTAGGAACTTCTCCAAAATGATACCACTAATAGCCTGTTTGCAATTTTGACCAAAAATGTAGGGCTCTCACATTTTTGGAAATAATGAGAGTAGAATCAATTTGCTCAATGAAAGATTTACATACAACTGAAGGATATAGAATTCATTGAATATTGTATTGCAACTACTACTACATTTAATTAAAACCATTTTAATATTTCCAGATAATTACAGCTATTTCCATTGTGGCTTTATTTTTCAAATACGTATGCCTATCATTTACAAAGGCTTCATGAAAATTAACTATATACAAGAATAACAATCAGAGGGAACGTTTAAATAATATTTTTTTGTTTTTAGGTTTTTAAAACAGTCTCATGCCACATAAGTTAGCCTTAAACTCACTATGTAGACAATTTGCTTCTCAAATGGTGGATATTACAGACATACAGTACTATGTAAAGAAAGAAGTATTTTTTATAAATCTAGAATCCATGTGTTAGAGTTGGAACTAGATCATGTACAGTCAATCTTGGCTGCCAGTATTTGACATTATTAACTAGTATCTCTTCCTCTTACTTTTAGATTAATTTCAAAATATATATGTGTGTGTGTGTGTGTGTGTGTGTGTGTATACCTGATCAAAATAAAGTCCTGAGAATGAAAAATATTTGTCACAATAGGATGTCATGGCAATCTGACAATCTCTTGGGACTGAGATAGGAGGATCCTGAGTTGGAGGCCAGTCTAGATTACACCATGAAACCTTACTTTATAAAGTCAAGGGATAAGGCTGCAGTTTACCTAGAATGCACAAGACCAGTGTTCCACCATGGATGGGTAGGATTTATCCTAGTTCACATGTAAAGGTGATAATCGATAGCTTTTACGGTACAAGAAGGCACCTTGCAAGCATTCAAAGAAGAAAGGATCCTATTCAATTATGACTTCTGTGAACCACACCAATGACCAGCAAGGCAAGATATCTGTAAAGACTAAATAATGGCACACATACCTTGGCAGAAACCAGCAACTCTTTAATTGACCGTAAGACCTGTTCAACAAGAAAGAGAACCTGCCTAGTACTGGAAACCTAGCTGCCTACTTAATATCAGTGAAGCCACCATGATTAGAGGAGAATCTACAACCACTAATTTATTAAACCATCATTTTCCCTAAGAAGAGACCTATTGTGAGATTCTTACACTTCCATTCTGTCTTTGATGTTGGGATAGATGGAATAAACCGCCATAAAACCATAGGGTTGTTTCAGATGCAGGATAATCTAGTGTGTTAACACTCTTGTGAGAGGCTACTATTTAATAATGCATTTTCAGAGAAGGGTATTTTTAAATTGTCAACATTTCTAATGCAAGATGGTAAAAATGTAACTGTATTGCCTCTATTCTATAGTCTTGTTTTTTTCATCTTCTAACCCACTCAAAGAAAACATTTCCTCATCTTATTTATTCCCTAAAAAAAAGCTTTAACAAATACATGTGAATCATCTCTTGGCAAAAAATTAATCATGAATTTAAAAACTTTTCAAAAATAACTATCCCTTAACTTTTACCTTATATGTGGTTGTTCCAACATTGACTCAGATGCGTATAAAACTGAAGAAGCTACAGTATCATGTCCTTTTCAAAAATAGAACCCTTGAAATTTTAAGAAAACCAATTGTATATTTTTATCTACAATAGTACTAAAAGCAAAAAGGTAATCTATGGTTGCATACCTCTTTCGAATTTGAACACATCTGAAAACTCCAGCCTCATGTCACTCAAACTCCCTGGGAGTCCAGTGTGCTCAGGCTTTATTACTAACTGACCCAAGATCCTTTCAAAGGCATCAGATAGTGTTGCATGACCTCTGCCTCTCAGTTCTGAGCCTACAGCCTAGCCCTATGCACTCCTCCACAGCCAAGGCCCTCCGTCCAGACTTTGTGTACAGCTGCTTCTCTACTGACAGACACAGTGGGGGCTCCACTACTCCCAAACTCTGAAATACTTAACCTTTTATAACTCAAAATATAGAGGGTCCTGAATTCATATTTATTCAAATTGTAATATTAAGTTACATAAATTTAATCACATTACAGTTTCATGTCTGTAAACAGAAAGTAAAATAAATGGGGAAATCCATTATACTGACATTAATGTATGATTTGCACCTATGAAATCTGTTCAAAACAATTTGTTTCCTTGAGAAAATAACAACTTGAGATAAGATATTGTTAAACGATGAAGATGCTAACTGTGGATGATTTCCAGTGTCATAAAATTCTACATCTTGGAATCTGTATGCTAATTATCATTGGAGAGAAAAGAGAGGTATGTCAAAGGTTAAGTAAAATACTGTGTCTTCTATATTTTATTATAATATAAATAATATAATTTTTGCAAATCTAGTTGGAAAATAAGATAGTTTGACTTGTTCCCTAAGAGTTTGTACATTTTATAGTATTATTCATATTAATTAAATATTACAGGCTCAAATAAATAAATTCAAATCACTTCCTTAGGTATATTCATAAGTAAAATAGTATTTGATCAAAAGTCGTTTCATTCAGTCATCAGAAGGATTTGTGGATTATGTCCTCTCGCACTGATTAGGTTATAAATGTGTGCAGCAAGTTGACTGGGGAGCACTGTTCAGACTAAACTCTGTGCATAAATAGCAGAAGCAATTTCAGTTAGGGGAGAGACTGGCTCAGGTACAGTCTAGTGAGTCCTTCAGGGACCTCTACAAAACCAATACTCCAAGATGCCTCATACTTAAGCAGGGGCCCTGTGGTGTTTTGAAAAGAAAATGGCCTCCATAGACCCATAAGAAGTGGAACTATTAGGAGGTATAGCATAGGTATGGATGGCATTGTTGGAGGAAGCTTGCCACTGGGGGTGGGCTTTGGGGTTTCAGCGTCAGCAAGCCACTCCCAGCTTCACTCTTTCTTCTTGTTACCTGCAGATCTGGATGCAAAACTTGCAGCTACCTCCCCAGTACAATGTCTGCCTGTATGCCACCATGTTTCCTGTTACAATAATAGTGGACTGAACTCAGACAGAAAGACAGCCTCAATTAAATGTTGTCCTTCATAAGAGTTACAGTTGTCATGGTCTCTCTTCACAGCAATAAAACCCTAACTAAGACAGGGCCTAAGAAGTGGTACAGCCACACTGAAAAGTCGATGCACTTGTCCTGTGCCCAGTGAAAGAACATAACCTTACAGTGTAAAGCACATCATTTTGTCAAGTACAATTCTCATGATCTCATCCACAGTGTATTCAGCAGTTCAGATCCCCAGGACCTAATGTTAAAGGTGGTTGTGAGCTGCCCAGTCTGGGTTCTTTGCAAGAACTATACGTTGTCTTATCCACTGAGCCTTCTCTTCACAGAGAACCCATCTTTAAACTTAAATATTTAAATATTTAGTATTAATTTCTAAGACTGATAATGAAATCTACAAAAAGGACCTTAGACTCTAAACTTCTGTGAACTTGCTAATAAGAACTTACTATAACAATCAGTAAATTTTTAATAAAAGAATAAATTCTTAAGACTCTATTTTCAATGCTTTTCTGTATAAATCCTTCTCCCAAACCTATGTATGCAGGTACTTTAAGCCATTGTAACAAAGAATCTGGGAATTCTGACTCTTAAAAAATTTTCCACAGATTCTCTCACAATTGTCTGTGAGCATTGGGTGCAGGAACTATGATGTAACCGGGCTCCCCACAATCCTTGGATCTCTCTCTATTGTCTCCAGTTGTGGTTTACCGTTAGCTGTGAAGAAAAGCTTCTCTGATGAGAGATAATAATTTGTCTCTGAGAATAAGCCCAAGATTTAGAATGTACTTGGGACTCATACTGGTCTAGAAATGTGGTAGTAATAGACTCTCTTCAAAGAGGTATTACCTCATTGTTTCTGGGAACTTGGGAATGTGGCTACCACCAGGAATGATTTCCATTTTGTTGAGTAAACTTTAAGTCCAATTTAGACAGCTGTTGATTACCAACATATGAGTGCCACTTATGTACCTTCCTGGATATTTTGCCATACTGGTCACTGTTGTGGTTAACAGGAGTCACTGCTGGGAATGAAGAGGGGGTGGGTGGGAAAATTGTCAGAGCCAGCATGCCAGAATATCTGCTATGAAAAAGTCTCTCATAGAAACAGCAGTGTAAACAAGACAAAAAATAGCAATATTGATAACCATGCTAGCACAGAAGGGGGAAATATCACAGGGTACCAACCCTGAACACAGAACTACAGGCAACAAAAGACTGCAGAGAGAGGGATGCCTTTCCCAGGGATGAGTCCCCTGACTTTTTATCCAATACAAAGGGCTCAGCTCTAAAAACAAATATACACACAAACAACAGAAATATAACAAATATAACACAAATAACAAAACAACAAAAATACTAGACATGTTGTAGTTATGTATTTCTGCATAAAATGCATACACATATATGTGTATAACAATAACAATCAAAAAATTATCAATTTGAGAATTGGGGAGCATGGCAGGGGCTAAAGGGATGGGACTTGGGAAAGGATCAAGGGAGGCAAAAGAGGAAATTGTTGTAATGCTGTTTTAATTGAAATGTACAAATATAAAAATAAAAAAATGAATAATGATAATCTGGGGAAATATAGGGTCTTGTAAGTTGCTAAGATAACACAACAATGTAAGATAACACACAAAATGCTACCTAGAGACAGTTCATAGATTTAGTATTAGATACCAGAACATTGCTGTGAATCACATGATGTTTTTGTAGGGCAAAATTGTTTATTTCTTTTGGAGGAGAAACATCTCCTTGCACAGTCAGCACAGAAAAAGACATGTGGGTAGCAATGGCTAACTTAATGCTAAAGTCTAAAAAGTTGTATCATGCCCAGCAGGTGTACAAGTCACATTAATAAGTGATTGTCACTTATAAAGATCTGGAAAATATTATTTTTTCTCAGTATAAGTGTGTTGTTTTTTTAATTATGAAATACTTCATGAATTTACATGCCATCCTTGTGCAGAGGCCACAATAATCTTCTCTCTATCAGGCTGACTTTAGTATGTATGCTGCCAAAGTGAGGACATTACATTTTAAATGGCAGCAAGAAGAGAGCATTATCTGTTTCTGTTTGTCTTTCACATGCACACTAATAATAACATGTATTAATAACTGCATACACTGTAGAATTATTGGGTCTTGATTCCTTGACATTGTGAACAACAGAAATTTTGTAAACATGTACTAATCAGGTGATCAGTAGTATTAAGTGCTCCAAAGTGCAGGATCTGTATATTCAACAGTTCTTCAGGGTGGAGCTTATGAAGAAAGCAATGTGTGTTAAGAACATAGTACTAAAATGTCAGTCCTACTTTGAACTAGTATGTATGTCTATCTAAAGAAATGGTATTAGAAGATTCTGCTGAATAGAGAGAATCAGCTTTAAAGTATATCATGAATTACATTATACACTGCATTGAGATTTCCTAACCCACCACATCAACCATGGTTTTTTTCAATGTCTTTATTTTCCAAGTCCTTCCACTACTAGCAAATCAATGAAAAACCTGCTAAGTGAATGCATAGGAAACTCTCTACCTTTTATCTTTCCTGTTTTACAGGAAACAACTGTTTTTTTAGAAATGAGATCACTTCTTTCAGTTAACTGCACTTGAATCCCAGGCAGCAATCCTACCCTCCACCTCAGAGAGTAAAGACAAGTCAGATAAGGGAACCTCTCAATCCTTCAGAACCACATGTGAACACTCCTCTGGTTGCTTTGGCCATTTTACCTATGGTATTATCTACTGCTGTTCTTTCTTCCTCATTCAAACCTATGCTGTTCCTTCATCCCCCATTTTTAGTAGATATTTTCTCAAAAATAAGCAAACATAAATCTTCCTGGATACATTTTAAATACTTTCCTGATTCTTGTCATACCTCTTCTTTGCCATAACTTACCTAAATGACTTCTTCATTCTCACTACCAAGGAATATGTAACTTGCCCAAAACATTTGCAATTTACTCCACTCCGAGTCTGATCCTTGCTCCACTGAAATGACTTTCAGAAAAATCGCCAATAACAATCACTTCGATACAGGCAGCCAAAGAACACTATCTTCATTCCTTTCAACTATAAGTCAGTGTATCGTAGACCTTCAGACTTGGAGTTTCTCAGTTAAAATCAGATTTCACAATTTTTCAATGTGTGCTTGTAGATAGATTGAATAATTTCCTGATATCTCATATCATGCGCAAACTTAACTATAAAGGATTTACACAATAAAGTTGTTTTGGTAAGCAAATTATAGAAATTATTTCATATACAGCACAGAATGCATGTTGAATAAATGATAGTTTGATTTATAATTCTCTTCATCCATGAAGACAAGCCTTTGGGGATTGTTCATATTATTTGCATGAGAAGAGCAGAATCCATGATAAACTTTTAAACTATTTTTTCAATGATTTTTTTAAAAATAGGTTTTTTTTTTTAATAACTGAGAGACTCCTGAAAGACAGATGATATAGTAAGTGCAGAACATTCAAATGAACATAATATTTTCTCCCAGGGCACTTGACAACTTTGGTGGCAGCCTATCTGAAACACTGGGCTGGAGTGGGAGAGATAGGTCAGCAACTAAAATCACTTGTTGCTTTTGTAGAGGAGCCAGGTTTAGTATCCACCACAACTGTGGTGCTCACAATCATCTCTAATTTCAGTTCTACGTGATTTAATGCCTTCCTCTGGCTTCCATAATCAGGCACACATGTATACATACATGCATGCAGGCAAAAATACTCTTATTCATAAAATGAAATTTTTAAAATAAAATAAAACACCCAGGATCCCCAGATCTGATGTCCAGATCTAAGATACTAAATAGCTGTGGGCAGCATTGACCCAGAACCAAATTTCGCACCTCCTGCTCATTGTGGACCACCTCAGATACACATAACTGCAGACTTCTGGTTCTAACTCAAGAATCTCAAATCCACTCTCAGTATCTTTGAATCTACAGCATTCTACCTTGTTAGTTCACAGTAAAGTCAACCCTCTTACCATTCAGCTTTGAAAATTGGACACAGCATTTATGATGGAGCACTTTGCCACTGCCTTACTCTTCTGTACTTCACTCCTATGGTACCTGCCATGGTAATATTTCACAGAGTTCTGCCCCTTTTTATCCTTTCTCATAATTTCAAAGGTCTCCATGGCACTTATGTCTGCTCAAGAAACAAATTCTCTTTCTGCTGGGCTTTAGCTACCACTCATTTGATAAAAATATATGCCTAGCTAATTGCTCACTTGACCACCCCCATAAGTTCCCAAATCCAGCACACTGAACAGGAAACTGTCTATTACAGATTTGTTCCTGCTTTAGAATTGTGGTGGTTTGAATACATTTGGCCTAGGGAGTAGCACTATTAGGAGGTATAGCATTGTTGGGGTAGGTGTGGCCTTCTTAGCAGAATGGTATCACTGTGGACATGGGCTTTAAGACTCTTGTCCTAGAAGTGCATTGCTTTTGATAATGCATATTCCATAACTTGCAAGTAAGGCATTCTTGACAGAACGACCTAAGACAGACTCAGTCTTGTTAATGAAATAAAAAAGGGATAAGAAGTGGAGAGCCTTTGGGGCTGCTTGGCAGGAATATGACATGGGCCAAGGACAAGGAAATGGGCTGCTTGGCAGGAATATGGCATTGGCCAAGGACAAGGCAGTGGGCTTCAGGCAGGAATCTGACAATAGGCTAGAACAAAGAAGTAATTTCAGACAGAAATCTATATTTTAGGCTAGAACAAGGAAGTAGGCTTCAGACATGAAAATGACCTTGGGCTAGGACAGAGAAGTAGGCTCAGATACTTTGGTCATCCTGATAAGCACTTAGAAACAGTGATCAAGGAAGTGTTCATGGGACTTTGTTTAATGTCTTGCTTTTTCTCTGATTATTTGTGTTTATTGTATTGCTGTTCCTTGACTATTTGCATCTATTGTATTGCTAGACCCTCAAAATAGAGCTGACCTTAATACATGCATGTGATCAAAATGGTATAAAAGCATAAAGGAGGAGGGGGTGAGATAGGGGGTCTAGGGAGAGGAAATGGGGAAAGGGGATTACATCTGTATTGTAAATAAATAAAATATCCAAAAAAGGCACAAAAAATAAAAGAAAAAAGACAACTTTGTTATATATGAGGAGCAATGTACAAATCATCAAAGGAAAGAATGCAATTCTATAACATGAAACAGAAATGAGGAAATTAAAGACGGGATTTTCAAAACCAGTGTTCAACTTGATAGAACACCCTGTTTCTTATCCATTAACCAATCATTTTCATATGTACCTATATGTTGTATATACTTAGATGTTGAAGCTCTACCAACTTCAGTACTCTATTTTGTTGTTTAGAATCATCATTGAATAATATGAGTGTGTTTTTTAAAAGAGTCCTTTTTTTAGCTACCTGGAAGTCAGTCTTCTCCAGTTTGCCTTCAAAACAAGATGTTGAACTCGCAGCTCCTCCTTTACCATGTCTGCCTGGGCTCTGCCATGTTCCCAACTTGATGATAATGAACTGAACCTCTGAACCTGTAAGTCAGCCAATTAAAAGTTGCCTTGGTCATGGTGTCTGTTCACAGCAGTAAAACCCTTGTTAGATAGAAGTTTGTACCAGAGACTAGGGTATTGCTGTGATAAACCTGACCATGCTTTTGTTTGGAAGAATGTGGATTTGGGGACTTTGGATTTGGAAAGCAGTGGAATACTTTAAGTGTGAATTAATAGGCCATCCTAGTAGGAATGTGGAAGACTTTATTTCTGTGAGTGATTTGAACTGTGCAGACTTGGCCCAAGAGGTTTCAATGGAAAAGAATTTCAGTGTGTGGCCTAGAGACTGGTTTTATGATATATTGGTGAAGAATGTGGCTGCCTTTTGCCTTTGTCCAAAGAGTCTGCCTGGGGCTAACGTGAAGAGAGTCAAATTAATTGCATTGACAAAGTATGTCTCAAAACAACCCAGTTTGAAGTCTGTGCTGTAGTTTAGTCTCATAAAGAATGTTTTGATGAAGTACAGCAAGCTTTTAAAAAGATACAAAATATATGGTTCAAGTATTAAACGGGCATGAAAAGGTAGAAAGGAACTGAATTCTATGTATATATGAGATAGCAGATTAAGGGAGTGATGACTTTGCAGTAAGATACCACCCAGCTAAATTTAAGTCCAGGCATGATAGTATAAGCTTTTAATCCTAGTAAATAGAGGCAGGCAGATCTCAAGAGCAGATTGAGTTCAAGGCCAGCCTGGGAGAGAGCAAGTTCCAGTTAAAGAAAACCTTAAGTCTAGGCATGGTGGTACACCCCTTTAATCCTAGCATTCAAGGGAGCCATGTAGATCCTCTGAGTTAAGGCCAATGTACAGAGCAAGTTCCAAGACAGACAAGCATAGGCAAAAGAAGGAATTGGAAAAGAGAAAGCTGGTAAGAACATAGGGGCCATGTTCCAGCTCCAGCAAGCGGCAAAACTCAGCCGCTTCTATATCTTTTCACTTCAGTTTTTATTTTTTACTTTCTCAAAATTAGCTCAGTTATTTGCTCCTATGTAAATGTCTAAGTCAACTTTCTAGTTATAACTGAGTAACACGAACTTGTAATTTCTAAAGAGTAGAGGTCTTTTCAGATATGGTTAGAGAAACTAAATAACCCTACAGCACGGCAATGGAAATGCCCTGCCCAAGAAAGGTCATCATATGTCAAATAGAGTCAGTAGGCTATCTCAGGCCTCTCTTGCAGTTTGCATAAAGCAATCACTAATGCTAGCATGAGGAAAATATTCCAGGGACAACAAGTAAGCCTGTAACTCCTAAAATATAGACAGTTTATTTATATTTTATCATACAACATTTTAATGATTTCTATTATTTAATTGGATTGTATTGTTACAGAGTCTACTATAAATTGAATGTGAGAGATTAAAATTAAGACAAAGATATACAAATTAAAAAGAAACCCTGATAATAGAAGGGAGAATAATAAGCTTTGATAATTTGGGGTTTATTGCAACAATCCTTCATCAAGATG